TAAGGGGCTGTGTATATAGGGGGCTGTGTGTGTGTGTACCCTCTCTCTCTCTCTCTCTTTCTCTCTCTCTTTCTCTCTGTGTATCTCAATCCCTCTGTCTGTCTGTCTGTCTGTCTGTCTGTCTGTCTGTCTTTCTGTCTATCTCTCTCTCTCTCTCCCTTCATTTCAATTTCAGTATTCCTGTCTCTGCATTTCTTTTTCTTTCTCCCTCTCTTTGTGTCTCTCCATTTATTTCTCCCTCTTCTCCCTTTCTCTCTGTGTGACTTTGTCTCCCCCTGCCTCTCTCCTCTTCGTCCTCGTTGTCCTTTTCCTCTTCTCAGTGTCTCTCTGACTCGCCTTCACCTGGCGAATGGGGAGAGAGCCATCTGCTTTACTACCCTCGCCTCTCACCTATATAATAGTCCCTCAACCCTGTAGCAGTGCAGTTATTCTCAACAGTCAGCATCTCTGTAACCTCGCAAGTTACTCTGCCATCTGTCTTTCCCATATATTCTTCCTCTTCCTCCCACTCTCTTCTTTTCTTCCCCTCCCTCTCTTCCCCTCCCTCTCTTCCCCTCCCTCTCTTCCCCTCCCTCTCTTCCCCTCCCTCTCTTCCCCTCGCCCTCCATCCGTCACACACAGCAGCTTGTTACCTGTGACTTCAAGATAACAAGATTTTACCTCAACAAATCTCCAATGTTGCCGTGACCAAGATGCTCCTCCCGCACTTAAACTACTTTCTTTATATATATATATATATATATATATATATATATATATATATATATATATATATATATATATATATATATATATATATATATATATCGTGTCGAATAGGTAAAACTTGAGATTTTGGCTCAAATAGCGACCCTCTTCTTGCCGAATAAGGCAAGCGAAAATTTGTGTATGGAGTAATTTCGCGAATCTAGCGAAAAAAAATATTTCATTGTTTGTTTATTATTAAATTACTTTAAACTTATTTCAAATATATTTTGTTGGATTAGACTAAATTAAATTGTGCTTGTTATGATAAGGTTAGGTCAGTTTTCTAAGGTTCTTTTGGTACAAAATTATTATTTTTTTACATTAACATAAATGAAAAAATATATCATTAAACGTATAAGAGAAAATTTAAAAAAAAAAAAGACTTAATTTTAAATAAGTTCTTGCTAATTGACCAATTTTACCTATTCGGCACGACATGTATATAATGCAAATAAAAAATGCTTGTCCTAATTGTTTATTTTAAGAGTAGAGAGGAGGTGAGAGCAGGTTAGTTACCTGCTGGTTCCTGTTGGTGGTGGTGGCGGCGCTCTAATTTCAGCATTGGTGGCGGCTTCCCTTATAGTGACGGCGGTGGCGGTGGCGGTGGCGGTGGCGGTGGCGGTGGCGGTGGCGGTGGAAATGGAAGGTTGTGTCCTGGTGGTGGCATCATCTGGGGTGGTAGGGGTAGCTGCGGTGTCAACGAGAGGTTGGTATGGCACTAGAGAACTACAGTGGTTGGAGTGCCTGCCCTCCCCGCTTCCTTCCTGTCTGCTGAAGAAGGCACCGAAGGACTCATGCCTCGGGGAACTCAACAAGATCCTTGGACTGGCGCTGGAGTCCTTCGCCGGATGCTGTGCCTTCTTCAGCGACTTCCGGGGGGATCTGTACGATTTTTCGTTAACTTTCTTTAATTTGTGTGGATGTATGGTGGGTCTCCTCTCCGTGTGCAACCTTAGCTGGTCAGAAATACCATGGCTGAGGCTGGTGGCTACCTTGGTGTGTTGGTGGTGATGATGGTAGTGGTGGTGGTGATCCTCGGGTAATCCAGGAACTATTACGTGTTTCCTAAGCCTGGGGCTCTCTTGTAAATAGTGCTCCTTGATGCTACCTGAAGAGGGTCTCCCAGGTAAACAGGATGATGTATTCCCGCTCTCCATCACACACAAACTACTTTTTTGCTCTCCTGTATCTAAGTTTTTGTCCTGTAGATGAAGTAAGCTGCTGGAGACTTGTTTCCTTGTGTTGCCTAAACTAGTTTTGGTTTTCACTTTGCTGGCAAATTTATCAGGGATACAGAGATTGGCTTCCTCAGTCTCCCGGACAGGTGAGAACAACGGCCTGCAGCAGGTAGCATCTAGTGGCTGGTAGTCAGTCAGGGGACCGATGAGACTCAGCTTCCTGAAGACGGGTCGAGTTTTCACGCTAGAAAAGAGTTCTTCAGTCGGAAGTGATTGTTTTCTAGACGAGAATGTAGTGTGAGCACAGTGGTCGTGGTGTTGGTGGTGAGAGGTCAACTTTCTATCATCTTTTACTGATCTCTCAGTAAGTGATTTATCATCGTTAGTAGATGCTGATAAACCAAGTGAGTCATCAACCGCACCTGTGCTTCTCTGGCTGTATTTGGCATCATCATCTTGTTCAGTAGCAGCTTTCGTAAATGTATTATTTGTTTCATTCACATCAGAGCTCTCCACATTGCTTGCTTGTTCACTGGGGAGCGGATGACTATTTAAGGCAACATTGTTGGCGTCAGATATATGAGACAATTTAAGTATGTCTTCAGCACCTGCTTCACTGTCGTGAGTGTGTGAAATACTTCTTGATGTAATCCTCAGATAGTCAGAAATGAGTGCGTCTGTTTCACTAAATCTTTTCTTATATTCCACATACTCATCTCTGTCAAAATTATCGATTTTGACATTTAACACCGCGTCAAGAGCCTCGCCGGGTTTGGGGATGACAATCTTATCGAGGTTGCTTCCCCGTCTTTCACTCAGACGGGCATTTCTACTTTCCAGGGCGCCTTCTCTTAGAGCCTCTTCATCCTCCGTAGCCAGAGGCTCGATTATACCAACTTTTATCTCATCTGTTTCCAGTTTGTGGCCCAACAACGCTATGGGGAAAGCAGCAAGCGGCTCCGTCTTGGTTGTAGAAGGCGTTAGTGATTCAGTACTGACCGTGGGAAGAGAAGGTAGAGTTTCCTTCCTGGCTGTTAAACGAGATGGTAATTGTTCTGTTTTAGCTGTTGAACGAGATGGTAATTGTTCTGTCCTGGATGTGGAACGAGATGGTAATTGTTCCATCTTGGATGTGGAACGAGATGGCAATTGTTCCATCTTGGATGTGGAACGAGATGGCAATTGTTCCATCTTGGATGTAGAACGAGATGGCAATTGTTCCATCTTGGATGTGGAACGAGATGGCAATTGTTTCATCTTGGATGTGGAACGAGATGGCAATTGTTCCATCTTGGATGTGGAACGAGGTGGTAATTGTTCCATCTTGGATGTAGAACGAGATGGTAATTGTTCCATCTTGGATGTAGAACGAGATGGTAATTGTTCCATCTTGGATGTGGAACGAGATGGCAATTGTTCCATCTTGGATGTGGAACGAGATGGTAATTGTTCCGTCTTGGCTGTTGAACGACATGGTAATTGTTCTGTCTTGGATGTGGAACGACATGGTAATTGTTCCGTCTTGGATACAGAACGAGGTGGATGTAGTTCTGTCACTATTGTGGAATGAGATTGTGGCAGTAGCCCCATCGTGGTTGTAGAACAAGACGTTAATCGCTCCATCTTGGCTGTTGAACCAGGCAGTAGAATTTCCGTCCTGGCTGTAGGACAAGATGAAAGTGACTCTGTCCAGGCTGTGGGTCGTGGCGATGGTGTCTGTGTCTTTGCTGAGGCATTAGATGCTGGTGTCTGCGTCCTGGCTATGGGATGCTGGGGCAGAGGCTCCGTCCTTGGCTTCCTGTTCGGTTTACGAAGAACAAAGTCTGCCTCGCGAGCATTGATATTCTGGTAGACCTCTGAGTTGCTTCCATAAGGTGCTGGATAGAGCAGTTCCTCATGGAGGTCGCCAGGACTGAAGAGCCTTTGTGTATATGCGTCCTGTGTTGGGGTCAGGAAGCTGAACCAATCCTGGGAGATCACTCTCGGATCCTTTCTCTTGGCATCTGATGTTTTGACTGATCTTGACATCGTGGTTGTGTCTGGTAAAGTTCCACGAGCGCCTCCCAACGCGAGAGAATCAACGCATTCAGGAAATTGAGGTTTAGAGAGTTCATTGATGGTATTTGAAGACTCGATACCAATACCAAGGGTAGTTGAAGGTGGCCTTAGACTCTGGTCCTGGAAATGGAACGGGAGATTTTCTTGCGATAGTCGGTTGGGTATTTGGGAGTGTCTGTTGTGGGAGCTGACAATGCTGGAGCCTCGCGTGACAGTGTCTTGAGAACTGGTTCTATCAGTCTCGTGGTGAAGGCTCTGACAGGAAACATTGTCTCTGGACACGGAACCTGTGTTGAAATCTGGTAAAGCAAAAGCTCTTGAAATAATCCCAAGGTCAATGGAGTATTTCCTGTTGGAGCTCTCGTGTTCAAATAAGGGGTTGAGCACACCCAGTGAGCCTCTCTGTGACCACCTGGTGGCGCAGGCGTGACTCGTACCAGGGTTCACGCATGCGCATTCCCCAGGGGGAAAGGTCATGAGGTCACAAGTGGTGGTCATTATGCCACCAGAAGTAGGCTGACTCCTCACCACCTCAGGATTTGTGTACCTTCTGGCAGGAAGACCTCGGGAACAGGACTCAGGGAAGGAAGGAACTTTAGAAGCACTAAGAGAGTTCGAAATACCATAAGAATTAGAAGTTTTGCAGTGTCCCACAGTTTCCGTGTTTTGTGGTATGCTGAAGGGCTTAATATTGACCTTATTCTCGGCCTCCAAGTAAGAGGGGGTGAGGGAGAGGGTGCCACTTAGCATAGGATCGCCCTCAGGCAAACTGAAGGGACCGCTGCTGTTGACACCATTACTGATCCTGTCTACGACGCCGCAAGAGGCCGAAAAAGATCCGCATTGAAATGGAGTGCCACAAGATGCCAGGAGAGACGAGTCAAGGAACTGAAAGTTGAACGCTGCTGGTTGATGCTCTTGTGAGCAGTGGGGCGGCTGGCCGGTCCTTGTCACATCCCAGTGAACCGTCCCTCGACCCTTGTGTTCATGGTTCATCAGTCGGTCCGACTGTAAGTTTAGCCGAGACATGTCCGGTTTCTCAGCTACGTACGTTATCATTTTCTCTGTTTGGTCACACTTGCCGCTTTGATTACATTCACTACAAGATGGAGAAAGACAAACGCACCTCTTCTGGTTCCCGCCAACAGAGGGCGTGTGTTCCAAGGGCTGTTTAACGTTATAGTTGTGACCTAGTGCTGGGTCACGTTCCCCGGCAGCCCCAGAGGGTTGACAGGTCTCTTGACTAGGCTCTCGTTCAGCCTCACAGGCTCTAGGAGGAGATTTCAAGAGATCAAACTTAGTCAGTTCCCCGCCATTTCCAGACTCCGGTGACAACTCAGCGAGGCGCTGGAGAGCTCTAAGGTGGGTCTGGGTGGTAGGAACCGTCGCACTAGTGGGCATCTGCGGTGATGTGGGTCCCGGTAGGCAAGATGAGGTGGGTCCTGGTGGGCAAGACACGGATGTAGGTCCCGGTGGACAAGATGAGGTGGGTCCTGGTGGGCAGGACACGGAGGTGGGTTCTGGGACGTGCATCACGACCGTCACACCAAGATGGGTAGTCACATTCTGTACCTTGACTATGAACACCTCAGGAATAGCATTGCCCAATGCAGTGTATATGCACTTCTCCGTGTATATCTCTCAGTGTATGTACACTGAAAGTTTAATTCCTCTATTAAGATTTAAAGTATCATTAACTAGTGGTGTGTATGGAATATGCAGCGTTAATGTCCCTGGAATACTGGAAAGGGTTTAACTAGGTCTAACATACCAACTGCCCAAATACCACACTCTTTATTCTGCCGTGATGTAATCGGATGGTAAGCCACTTTTCTGAAGGCGTCACTGTTGCATAGCACCTCTATACCCCCCTCTTAATGCAGCTACTCTCTTATCACATATATTTAGCTAGGTTCCAGTCAATCACACTTACTAGCTCTGAACTAATTCTCACATTAACTCGGTATTTCAGTTCGTCAGCAGAGACTTAAATGTGTTAGGTGAACCACACCTTCACCTGGGTGCTAACAGGTCACCCCTTCACCAAGCCGTTAATAAACCACCCCCTTCAAGTGACCGCTAATGGACCACCCTCTCACAAAGCTGCAAATGGATCACTAGAGGTTTATGAACCGACTCCTTCACTAGTCTTAGCTGATCTCATCACCAGCGTCCAGAGTCTTGCTTCCTGTTTGAAATCCTTCGCGCACTTCACCTACAGCAAGAGAGCTTGAGTAAGCCTCTTCAGGAGACTCTAAGTATTCCTCTCAGTGAGATTCAGCAATGAGGTTTCTGCTAGACATGTCTTAGAAATTTAAACCCCAGGAAGAAACCTTGCCTCACTTAGTTTCTTTTATATGTCTTTCTAGGAGAATTTCGTGATACTTTAATTTGTTATTAAATTAAAAGTTTAAAGAATGCTGCAGTTCCTTTGCGGTTGTAAACATTGAGGACCAGCTAGTGTGTCGCTCCCGCGGTGCTGCAAGCTACACGGGGTTCCAACAACTCCAGCGGTGCTACAGCTCCCTGGGGCATCCGACACCACACCTCCAGCGGTGCTTAGAGCTTCCAGGAGCTCTGGATCAACTTGACATCTTCAGAAGAATGCACGGGTTGTTGCAACAGCAGGGGGAAACACCGGCTCTACCAACACCTGCAACAGTGAAAATATCTGAGTGACTGTTACTGAAACACTGTACACAACCTCTCACGAACCTGACTCATGAGTCACACTGTACACAACCTCTCACAAACCTGACTCATGAGTCATACTGTACACAACCTCTCACAAACCTGACTCATGAGTCATACTGTACACAACCTCTCACAAACCTGACTCATAAGTCACACTGTACACAACCTCTCACAAACCTGACTCATGAGTCATACTGTACACAACCTCTCACAAACCTGACTCATGAGTCACATTGTACACAACCTCTCACAAACCTGACTCATGAGTCACACTACACAACCTCTCACAAACCTGACTCATGAGTCACACTGTACACAACCTCTGACAAACCTGACTCATGAGTCACACTACACAACCTCTGACAAACCTGACTCATGAGTCACACTACACAACCTCTGACAAACCTGACTCATGAGTCACATAAGTCAATACATAATATAAAAACGTGATGGTATAACATCCTCCTCTACTGGTACAGCTCCCAGATAATTATACTGACTAAAGTAACTTTACTGTGTACACTCCTAACACAACACTGAGACAGAGAGCATCCTGTGTGAGAGAGAGACAGAGAGAGAGAGAGAGAGAGAGAGAGAGAGAGAGAGAGAGAGAGAGAGAGAGAGAGAGAGAGAGAGGCAGACAGACAGACAGAGATTTAATCAGTAATTTATCAAAACATCAATAAGTGCCATCCAGGTGTAGGCGACTCCAGAAGTGCCATCCAGGTGTAGGCGACTCCAGAAGTGCCATCCAGGCGTAGGCGACTCCAGAAGTGCCATCCAGGTGTAGGCGACTCCAGAAGTGCCATCCAGGTGTAGGCGACTCCAGAAGTGCCATCCAGGTGTAGGCGACTCCAGAAGTGCCATCCAGGTGTAGGCGACTCCAGAAGTGCCATCCAGGTGTAGGCGACTCCAGAAGTGCCATCCAGGTGTAGGCGACTCCAGAAGTGCCATCCAGGTGTAGGCGACTCCAGAAGTGCCATCCAGGTGTAGGCGACTCCAGAAGTGCCATCCAGGTGTAGGCGACTCCAGAAGTGCCATCCAGGTGTAGGCGACTCCAGAAGTGCCATCCAGGTGTAGGCGACTCCAGAAGTGCCATCCAGGTGTGTGAGACACTATAGGTGCCATATAGGTGAAGCTGGTACTAGAATGACTTAATTAATTCATCAGCACTCAGAGTTGTGAGTGCCACATTGAGTCAGTGTGGCACTGGCAGCTAAACAACCTCTTGCAGTATTCATCAAGGAAGCAATCACGCAAGAAGCTCCAAAGTATTGCATTTTAATCTTGATATTAATTAAAATAAGTTTAGCTGTCTGGTCAGGTAGACTGAAGCTCTTGAACCCGGACACTCTCCTTCTCTCATATTGGACAGGACGGGATTTTACCTAGTGTATTAAGAGATTGTGTGTGTGTGTGTGTGTGTGTGTGTGTGTGTGTGTACTCACCTAGTTGTACTCACCTAGTTGAGGTTGCGGGGGTCGAGTCCGAGCTCCTGGCCCCGCCTCTTCACTGATCGCTACTAGGTCACTCTCCCTGAGCCGTGAGCTTTATCATACCTCTGCTTAAAGCTATGTATGGATCCTGCCTCCACTACATCGCTTCCCAAACTATTCCACTTACTGACTACTCTGTGGCTGAAGAAATGCTTCCTAACATCCCTGTGATTCATCTGTGTTTTCAACTTCCAACTGTGTCCCCTTGTTACTGTGTCCAATCTCTGGAACATCCTGTCTTTGTCCACCTCGTCAATTCCTCTCAGTATTTTGTATGTCGTTATCATGTCATCCCTATCTCTCCTGTCCTCCAGTGTCGTCAGGTTGATTTCCCTTAACCTCTCCTCGTAGGACATACCTCTTAGCTCTGGGACTAGTCTTGTTATAAACCTTTGCACTTTCTCTAGTTTCTTTACGTGCTTGGCTAGGTGTGGGTTCCAAACTGGTGCCGCATACTCCAATATGGGCCTAACGTACACGGTGTACAGGGTCCTGAACGATTCCTTATTAAGATGTCGGAATGCTGTTCTGAGCTTTGCTAGGCGCCCATATGCTGCAGCAGTTATTTGATTGATGTGCGCTTCAGGAGATGTGCCTGGTGTTATACTCACCCCAAGATCTTTTTCCTTGAGTGAGGTTTGTAGTCTCTGGCCACCTAGACTGTACTCCGTCTGCGGTCTTCTTTGCCCTTCCCCAATCTTCATGACTTTGCACTTGGTGGGATTGAACTCCAGGAGCCAATTGCTGGACCAGGTCTGCAGCCTGTCCAGATCCCTTTGTAGTTCTGGCTGGACTTCGATCGAGTGAATTCTTCTCATCAACTTCACGTCATCTGCAAACAGGGACACCTCAGAGTCTATTCCTTCCGTCATGTCGTTCACAAATACCAGAAACAGCACTGGTCCTAGGACTGACCCCTGTGGGACCCCGCTGGTCACAGGTGCCCACTCTGACACCTCGTGTGTGTGTTTGTGTGTGTGTGTGTGTGTGTGTGTGTGTGTGTGTGTGTGTGTGTGTGTGTGTGTGTGTGTGTGTGTGTGTGTGTGTCTGTGTGTGTGTATGTGTGTGTGTATGTGTACTCACCTATTTGTACTCACCTATTTGTACTCACCTATTTGTGGTTGCAGGGGTCGAGTCTTAGCTCCTGGCCCCGCCTCTTCACCGGTTGCTACTGGGCCCTCTCTCTCCCCGCTCCATGAGCTTTATCAAACCTCATCTTAAAACTGTGTATGGTTCCTGCCTCCACTACGTCATTTTCTAGGCTATTCCACTGCCTTACAACTCTATGACTGAAGAAATACTTCCTAATATCTCTCTGACTCATTTGTGTCTTCAACTTCCAAGTGTGGCCTCTTGTTTCTGTGTCCCCTCCCTGGAACATCCTGGCTTTGTCCACCTTGTCTATTCCACGCAGAATTTTATATGTCGTTATCATGTCTCCCCTGACCCTCCTGTCCTCCAGTGTCGTCAGGCCGATTTCCCTTAATCTTTCTTCATAGGACATTCCCCTTAGCTCTGGAACTAACCTTGTCGCAAACCTTTGTACTTTCTCTAGTTTCTTGACGTGCTTTATCAAGTGCGGGTTCCAAACAGGTGCTGCATACTCCAGTATGGGCCTGACATACACGGTGTACAGTGTCTTGAACGATTCCTTACTAAGGTATCGGAATGCTGTTCTCAGGTTTGCCAGGCGCCCATACGCTGCAGCAGTTATCTGATTGATTTGTGCTTCCGGAGACATGCTCGGTGTTATACTCACCCCAAGATCTTTCTCCTTGAGTGAGGTTTGCAGTCTTTGGCCACCTAGCCTATACTCTGTGTGTGGTCTTCTGTGCCCTTCCCCTATCTTCATGACTTTGCATTTGGCAGGATTAAATTCGAGAAGCCATTTGCTGGACCAGGTGTCCAGTCTGTCCAGGTCTCTTTGAAGTCCTGCCTGGTCCTCATCAGATTTAATTCCCCTCATTAACTTCACATCATCTGCAAACAGGGACACTTCTGAGTCTAACCCTTCCATCATGTCGTTCACATATACCAAAAATAGCACTGGTCCTAGGACCGACCCCTGTGGGACCCCGCTCGTCACAGGTGCCCACTGTGATACATCATTACGTACCATGACTCTTTGTTGCCTCCCTGTCAGGTATTCTCTGATCCATTGCAGTGCCCTTCCTGTTATATGCGCCTGATGCTCTAGCTTCTGCACTAATCTCTTGTGAGGAACTGTGTCAAAGGCCTTCTTGCAGTCCAAGAAGATGCAATCAACCCACCCCTCTCTCTCGTGTCTTACTTCTGTTATTTTATCATAAAACTCCAGAAGGTTTGTGACACAGGATTTGCCTTCCATGAATCCGTGCTGGTTGGCATTTATACTCTTGTGTGTGTGTGTGAACTTAGGTCACATTCAGGTCCTTAAAGAAAGTTCTTTGTTCATCTTCCAAAGACCAGTTCAAGGTTCAGAACCTCACAGACTAGTTCAAGGTTCAGAACCTCACAGACCAGTTCAAGGTTCAGAACCTCACAGACCAGTTCAAGGCTCAGAACCTCACAGACTAGTTCAAGGTTCAGAACCTCACAGACCAGTTCAAGGTTCAGAACCTCACAGACCAGTTCAAGGTTCAGAACGTCACAGAATAGTTCAAGGTTCAGAACCTCACAGACCAGTTCAAGGTTCAGAACCTCACAGACTAGTTCAAGGTTCAGAACCTCACAGACTAGTTCAAGGTTCAGAACCTCACAGACCAGTTCAAGGTTCAGAACCTCACAGACCAGTTCAAGGTTCAGATCGTCACAGAATAGTTCAAGGTTCAGAACCTCACAGACCAGTTCAAGGTTCAGAACCTCACAGACCAGTTCAAGGTCACTGGTGTGATCCACACTTGGTTATAGATCACTGGTGTGATCCAGCACTGGGTTACAGGTCATTGGTGTGGTCCACACTGAGTTACAGGTCACTGGTGTAGTCTACACTGGGTTACAGGTCACTGGTGTAGTCCACACTGAGTTACAGGTCACTGGTGTGGTCTACACTGGGTTACAGGTCACTGGTGTAGTCCACACTGGGTTATAGATCACTGGCGTACTCCAGCACTGGGTTACAGGTCACTGGTGTGGTCCAGCACTGAGTTACAGGTCAGTGGTATGATCCAGCACTGAGTTACAGGTCACTGGTGTGGTCCAGCACTGAGTTACAGGTCACTGGTGTGGCCCAGCACTGAGTTACAGGTCACTGGTGTGGTCCACACTGGGTTACAGGTCACTGGTGTGGTCCACACTGGGTTACAGGTCACTGGTGTGGTCCAGCACTGAGTTACAGGTCACTGGTGTAGTCTACACTGGGTTACAGGTCACTGGTGTAGTCCACACTGAGTTACAGGTCACTGGTGTGGTCTACACTGGGTTACAGGTCACTGGTGTAGTCCACACTGGGTTATAGATCACTGGCGTACTCCAGCACTGGGTT